GGATTTTTCCAGATTTTGATGGGATAAAGAAGGACTGAGCATTATATACACTTGCGCATTATATTCAGAAATATACGGTAAATTTTATTGTAATTATAAAACAATGTCCTAGATAAGAAAAATAACCAAGTCCTCATTTATTATTGTAGTTTCAAAGTTGGAAGTGAAAATTGGCAAAGTACACAGGTAGCCTCTAGCAGGTCAAACTTTCTAAAGCTTTCAAATTCTTTAGACTATCATCCTTAAGAAATAGAAAGCCACTTGATCTAGAGTAATATAAAGCTATTAGGTGATAATGTAATGATAAAGATTTTAGAATTTAATGTTTAATTCAATCTTCAATACTTCACCTGTTTCTCTCACTTCTCTTGTCATTGTGTCAGACAATCTGACTGTGTCTGGCTTAGACACTTATTTAGATAGACATCTTGGTCTTTTAGAAAGACATTATATTTTGGGTGGTCTTGAGTAGCTAATTTGATTTAACTTTAATACCTTTATAAACTGACTTGATAAAAGTGAAATATAATAATCAACTTAATGATGAGTTCCATTAACATTAATCTGTGATGAAAATATGTAATGAGTAATTTCCTGAGAAGTATTTGATGTATTTTCAATGTGAGGGGTTTGATTCTCCCAAATGTACAGACCTAGTTGCTGGCACGATTCACTTCTACTATTTCTTAGTAAATCTATAATCGGACCAGTGCACCAAACACTGTTCCTCGCCTCTTTTGCAGCTTAACTTCTATATGTGTAGTTTTATATCACTCTACAATAGTTGTAATAAGCACTATTTTAACAGTGGAAGTATTTTGTTATTATAACTTGTAAAAGATACAGTTGTTTGAAGCTCATTACTTACAATTCTTTACATTTTGACATGTTTTAACTGATGTTCTATAAATTGGTGGTATAGTTGTTTACATATCTTTACATACTGAATAGTATACTGATATACTAACTTTTTGTTTTGAAATACAGGAGTACTAGGGATATATAAATATGCTTGATGCTAAGATATACTGTTCTAAAGCATGAAATTATGTAGGGATTTTCAACTTGGCATCTATCTGTCAGAAAGGCTGACATAGAAATAGTCATTTCCTTCATTGCACACTTCATGGTGTTGGTGTTAGCCCAAACAGAAGCTGAGAAGTAGGATGTAAACTCATTTTCATTGGGCTTCTATTTTCATTAGTAAGGGTACTCAATAAGAACTACAAGCTATGGTGGTCTGTAGGATTCAGCATATTCTACCTTGTGTCTTAACTTATTATTCATGATAGGTGCTTACAAATTTGATGAGAAAGCAAACAATGCTAAAAAGCAGTGAAAAACATCAAATTTAGCTGAAACATTCAGTTGAAATCTTTATTATTTTAACAAACCAGAATTCACACCATTAAAAAAAGAATTGAAATATGTAAACATCTGTCATTGAAATCATTCTCATGAAAATAAATTTAATTTGATAACAGGATATTTTGAAGTTAAATATTTCAAACAGGATGGAATCAAAGATTATACTTCCTGCTAATGGTCATAATAAAATCAGATTTAAAAGAGGAAAATTCAAAAAACTTGAGATTAAATAAAATAAGACATATATACTTTGTGAAAATGGAAATATGAAGTTGTTGACACACTATTTCAATCAAAACACATTCAAGTATACTGATTTGGTGTGAAATTTCTTTTTCATACAAAAATATTTTCAAATTGGCAATGAACTGCAGTTTAACAAAGATTCATTTGGGGGAGAAGAACGTTGGCATTAATGACAGATGATACTCAAAGCATATCTTTAATGCGCATTGATGTATATCTACTGACTGTACAGGTTACAATTTGAGAGCTTACCAATTGCAGATTTCAGTGAGACTAATATAAGTTTGGTTACTGATCATCATATTTATTTAGATCATGTCTGAAACATTTTTGTGAGCTGACAAAATGTCATCAAAATGTACTGTAATGGATTTAATTAATTGTCATAATACATTTTTAGCTCGAACTTAAGTTCTGAAATTTGTTGAATCAAGAAAATATCCAGGTAGCAAAGTGATGTTACATGAATCAAAAATTTATCTAAGAAATCATTTAACTTAATTTGTTTTTGAGTGGAAAAGCTTGGGTTGGCGTGTTATCTACAAACTTCATGAAAAATACTTAAATAGATGATTAATTGTGATAGACATTTGCAAAATATGCAGAATTCGATGTACTTGATCCATGAAATTTTCAAACTTGAATTTCAGCTTCAATCTGAAGCCTTGTTTTGTGCTTAAAAGCTTGGATTTGGTTTGAGTTCTGTCAACTTTCATGTAAATTTCTTTAATGGATATAAATAAATGTAATAAGCATTCACAATTAAAATACATATCTTACCAAGTCATCTTACTTGAAACAAAACAAAAATAAATATTATTGTGTAATAATGTTTAGTGTTTCAACCAATCCTGTTGTGTCTGGTGATTTTCTGCATACTATTAATAAAACAACATCCAGGTCATTCTTCAAGAAACCCACCAAGGCGATCACATACATGTTGTAATTTTGCAGTTTTTAAACTACCCTCCTACCTCCCCTTTTCTGCCTGCTCTTTGTTACTAATTCTGTGTGCTACAGGCTCTGCACGTTAAAGATCCCTCAACAGATGGAAAACGAAAAAGAGCAGGCTAATGCCGCTATCCTGGCAAAATTTCCCTCATTGCACTCTGCATGGTGTTCATTAGCCCACATGTTGCAGAAGAGTAGGACGTAAAATTCCATTCATTTCATTTTCACACCATCAAAGTGTTCTGATATGTTGATGGAATGAGGGGAGTTGGGTAGAAGTCACAAATAACCATTTTTTAGTTATCCAAGAAATTTTAGAACTCAATTTTGAGGTTCAGGGGTAATAAAATTGGCACTGTCTTAACTTTAGAATATAAAAATGATTCAGATGTAATTTATTTGTATAAGTTTAGCACCATGAAGACTCTATATGTTATATCAATAAATAGTCAGTTATAAACTCTAGTCTAATTACATCTTTAATGCTCTAATCTATTTTACATTGAGAGTGTTAGAGTGTTCAGCATCTGGTGTTAAACTATGTAATGTGTTTTAAGTAATATTTTTATGAGATATGGGGTAATGAAAGCGGTAAACATCTCAGTATTCAAGTACTATTTCTAATTGGTAGTCTTTAATCACGCCTTATGCTTTGGCTATCTGCCCAAACTTATTTTTCTTTCTTTAAGCCTCATGCTACTATCAGGACGTCTGGTACAAGACTTTCAGTCCAGGTGACAAAGGAAACGGTTTATGGTAGAATTCAAATGTTTCTTGCAGGTGTGAATTGATATTAAATTCTATCTATTTTGATACTATTTCAAAAATTTCAGCTAAGTCGGAAGGGCTTAAGGCCCCTTTACATTACAAAAATTAACTGTTAGTAGTGTAAATGCTGAAGCCTTCTCAGAACATTTCCAATTTACATCCTGGTCTTGGCAAAACTGTATTCAGTCTTTATATCATTGGTTGTTAGATAGGTTATGTACCTGCCTTATCAATATCATCAAACATACAAAATAAATGGGGCATACAAAATTTATTTCTGGGTTAATTGTAGTAAGATGGAATTATAGAAATACTGTACATTGATCTTTGATGCAAGATTATGGAAATATTCATACTTTAGAATTTGATGCTTGAATTGTCACACTCCAAGGAACTTATTAATTCTTGTAACTTTTCTTAAGCTGATTTTAGTATTCTAATCATCTGATTGGTCAATCACTAAAATTGATTACAGATTCAATTTCTTTATCCAACGATGGTTTCGTTTCCGGAAAAGTCGTATGATCAATTTCTCAGTGTCCTACACAGTTAAGACAATTTTTCATCATGAGATCTTTTGAGAAAGAAGGCATGTATGAGATTCTCAGCAATGAATTTCTAAAAAGCACCAAAATCGTTGCAAACATATTAATGGTGATGGTGTTATGCCTACATGCCTGGGCCTGTGCTTTTGTAGCATTGCTTAAACTGTAACAACCAACAGTTTCAATTTTCATGAAATAGTATCCTACTGAACATTAATTTCATTTACAATTTGTATATAGCCTAGTTTGGGTGTTAAATGTTTTAATCCACCATCTTATGTGGGCGATGACATCTTTGCTATTTTTTTTATCAAACCATCTTTAATTTGGGAGTGAGAATAAGCTTAATCTATTTGATAATCAGATAAAAATAAAACCTGTTAAAGTGATCATATGAAAGAGTCTAGGAGATGAGATAAAATATTTGAAATTGATCTGATGGTCGGCTGATAGGGGTACATTTAAAGTGATTAGACACTCAAAGCACTGGAACAATTGTCAGGATTTTGCAGGAAGTTAGGATTAATCTTCTATTAATTTTCAAAATATTATATCTAAGTCTAAATTAAATTTTGTTTTTGTTTCTGAAACCTTGATCTATAAATTGCCCAAACACCATGAAATTTTTTCAGCCATTCCAATTGCAGCATGGTTAATCACCTGACCATCTCAACTTCATTTCATTTCAAGCACTACTTCAGGCACAAAACTGTCACATACAGCTAAATCAACACCCTTTATTAGCAATCAATTTATCTTTTCTTGATCAAGATACTTTAGACCCCCCCTCATCGTTCCCAACCTGGGGTGTTTTCGCTCCCTGGGTGTAAGACCAGGGTGTCAGGGGTGTGGCCAACTGGTGTAGGAGAAGAATATATTTTGAATTGAGAGAGCACCTCACATCATTACATGCTAAAAGTGTGGATGATAAAAAGTTTTGGGGGTGTGAAATGTTTCCTCCAGGGGGTGTGAAAGCTGAAATAAGTTGGGAATCACTGGTTTAGACCCTAAGAGCACCAACATAGTTCATTTCAATTTGTGGTGAATATTGAAAGATACTCAAATGAAAGAAAGAAAGATGGAAATGGAATCACCTTATTTAAGGCGAATAATTCCTTAGGTTTACGAGAATCCTCTCTTTCTTCCAGCTAGTCTTGGGCCAAACCTCTTGGCATTAATCTTTCCTAAATTATCCATACCTGTTAACAGCTGGGTCAACTTGAATAATAAGGATGATTTGAGATCATCAGACTTCTGCTTGCCAACCTAGATAATCACCATTTGATACACATGACGAAGCAAATAATTCCAGATTTCAACAATATAATCAAATGAACTACAGTCTGTCGTCAAACTAGTAGTAGTGTATAAGTGGTCTTCATTTGAGTTTAATTTTGGCCATGTGGTGGTCCATCTGTATGCCACTGTTTTCAGTAACAACAATTTAACATTCTAGATATGAGAGATAATATTGTAGTTTATTTGATAAATTCTGGTTTATTTTTAATAGTAGGATATTATCTCTACTGTTTATTTTTCATTTATTATATAATTTATCATAGTTTATGGATTTCATACCTTATCTACCAATTTCAAAAACATAAATCATACTTTGAAATTTGAATTTGTCTCACATTGAAGAAATTAAAGTGATACTACATCTTAGAATGAACATAAAATTTAAGTTCTAAAGAATGGTCAATATGAGTATATATTCATCAGTTAGCTTACCTGGTGTCATAAAGTTACAACAGAATCCCTGTAAAATCTGGAAAATTGGAAAACTAAGTAATTATTAATCTTGATATTAAGCGTTTTCAATAGTTAATTGTATATTTATGGATAATTACTAAGTTTTTTGGATTTATCAGATTATGTAATGATCCTGTTATGTTATTTATGACACCAGGTATATATACTTAAATTTTATGTTCATTCTAAGACGTAGTATTCCTTTAAATACCAATGAATATTATGAACTACGGTACTAAGAGTTGATGTTGTTACAACTTTTACATCAAGGATGTAGGTTCATCATTGCCCATTGTTTCTGATACTCCTAGATTCATTTACTTACCTAGTATAGAGTCAGGGTTCAAAAAGGGTCAACTGAAGCCTCACTATGGACAGTCTCAGTAATTTGGATTTTGGAACTGATGAAAGGGATAACAAATTTATAAAGCTTAAATTTAAATTCAGTTTAAATTCTGAAAAATTTTTGTATGATGAACTTAAATAAGCTTTATTCAAAGACTATGTAAGAACGAGTCTTAACTTTTCACCTTTGTGTTGTTGATATAAGAGTTTAAGGTTAACAGACAATAATGTGTATTTTATCAACATGCACTTTTACTGACTGGTGATAAGACTCCAATCTGTTTCAATCTTCTATATATATATAATAACTACATCCTGCTAGAGTTATAGACTTAAAGGCAGAATTTCAGGTTATTGTGATGGGTCCTTGTTACTAGTGCTGGCAAGATCGCGATATGAATTGCCCCGATACACTTACTGTATCGCAAAATTGTGTATCGATACATCTCATTCCATTAAAAAAGTAGCGAATTTGTAGTTGGCAAGAGAAATCAAAGTTTTTTCTCACTGACTTGACTAAAATTAATTGAAACTATTTACATCTCATGGATGTACACCACTTCTATCAAATATATTACCAAATATCACAGTTATAAAGTTATAAAGTTATAAATTAATAAGTATAGAAACTTTGAAGAAAAAGTTTTGATTTAAATCCCATTACTTCATATCACAATATGTATCATATCGTGACCCTTGTATCGTGATACATATCGTATCGTGACATGATTTGCTATACCCACCACTGCTAACCAAACAGATCTGGACATTTTCTGATTAATCATGCCATAAAAATTTGTAATTGTACATATGAGTGTTAATATGATATGTTCTTTTGAAAAATACTGCCAGTATAGATTGAGGATAGTACCTGTCAGATATTTCAACCTAGTTCTTCTTGTCAGTGTCAGCAGAATAATGATGGGATGAAACTTTTGTAGTTTATTTTCATAGACCCAGACAGGAAAAAGTGTATCTAAACTTAATCACCCATTGCATAATTCATGACAAGTGTTTATTTATAATATTACCACATGCTACATAATTCAGACATTTTGAAGTTATCAAACAATTTCATTTGTTTGCAGCTTTTCTCTGGTCATCTTCACAATGTCAAGCTATTACAAACTTTGTCTTATACCTTGACTGCAGTAGCTTGGTCATCTTCACAATGTCAAGCTATTACAAACTTTGTCTTATACCTTGACTGCAGTAGCAACCTTTTATGTCCAATGGAATGTAGCCATTTGATTGGATACAGCCAATTATTTCCCTCGACAGACTGACTATAATCATTACTGACTTTTTATATAGAACTCTGATTGGCTGTATTCGCCAATTTACAATCCAGCCAAATCACTGCATTTACAAATTTCCTTGATACAAGAAAGATGACTATTGCAGTCAAGGTACAAGACGAAGTTCGTTATAACTTACTTTGTGAAGATTTCAGGTTTCAATAAAAAAAAACATAAGCAAGACAATTCTGCTAAGAAAGATCTCGTCCAAAGTATGGCAAAATCGAGAGTAAAAGTTGTTTATTAGTGGAATCCTCCAAAGAGAAGTACCATAAGGTGTTTTGAAAAGAGTAAGCATGGTCTGCTTCGTTCGCGACACCCGCCACTATTATATAGGTCAACATCATGAGATACAATCAGATCAATTTTTGCTTGACCAAGATGAAGTTGGCTTTCCTCTTATAACATAACCAGAATAATATTATATGTTTAGCATAATGATTGTAGGAAGCTATCTTTAAACTCAATTATTATTATGAAGGTTTGCACCACATGTAGTAACATCAAGTGTTCTCACTTTATGTGTTATGTAGCTCAAGCAAATAAATTGAATTTATAAATATTTTGTGTGTGATGTATTAAGGAATTATGCCAAGTAAATCACTGTGTAATAGAAAGCAGACTGTTGATGAGGGCTATAAAATGAACTTATTTCTTTTTTCAGAATGAGTACATTATGTTTAGAGCGTAGATATTGTACAGTACCTTACTCTGGGATACTAATTTTTGGGGGTAACCAGCTTGGCAATCTATTTTAAAGGGGTATTCGGTTTTTTTTTTTGGTAAAAAGTTTTCATTATTAAAAACATTATAAATTATACTTGAAATGTTTCTTTAATATGCTGTTTATATTTATGTTTTTAAATATTTTTGATTATTGATAGACAGTACATCCTATACCAATGTATTGGATACAAACCCTTCATCAGGATGACTGATTTAGAAAAAGGTGTTAATATTTTATTTCGAGAGATTTTGTAATGAAATCACACCTGTCTATAGTTTTTCTTCCAAAAATTGAATTTTCTTTTAATTATGTTGAAATGACAAACACCAGAAGAAGATTATTTTAGATTATTTCTATCAAATTGGTTGACTTCTATCTTAATGATGATAATTCTTCTTGGCACAATTATTTTTAAACATTTTTAAGAATACAGTTTTTATCAAATCTTGAAATAACAATATATGGATGAAATGGTTTGTAAAATATTGTCGAAATATGTTAAAATCAGCCTGTAGACTCCATAGAATGGTACCTATACAAAATATTTTGATGGAATTTGGACTGAGTAAGACATTTCTTAATATTACAGTCATGGACTTTTCCAGTCAAGATTCAGATTTTTCAACACAGTTTTCCATGTCAGTGATGCAGGGCTGAAAGGTTGATATGGAAAAAGCAACTAGTTATTCAAATGGGACAATTAACTGAGGCCTGTGCACATTAAAGATCCCTTGACAGTTGGAAATTGAAACAGAGTAAGCTAATGCCGTTGTCGTAGCAAAATTTTCCTCATTGTACACTGCATGACCGTCTTCAGTAGCTGAGAGAAGAAAAGTAATATTCCATTTTATTTTATTATTTTTCCAAAAGAAGGTTTTGTACACAATTATGTCTCAATCTGAGAACAGGCTTTATGATCAAACTAAGCATGTACATATTGGTGAGCTCTTAAATCAGATTTTTCGTGATTTATTGAAAAATTGGTTTGATTCAGTGTCGATAAGCATCCATCTGCTTATTCACCTTCTAAAGAGACTTGTTCAGCAATAACTTTCATTTGCTAACAAACAAATATTGTGTATTTTCGTATACCATCAAAATAAATGTGTATTTAAGCTATGTTAGTAGGTAGAGGTTAATGGTTTCAATATGGATATAAAATGTAAATGTAGAATATATTAGCTACTACCTACAGTTTGACATTATAGAATAGCTGTAACTCTCTAATCCCTATAGCCATTTCAAATATTACATTTCTTTTATACTGTATAATATCTTATTGTTAGATCATTGATATTTTCATATTTCTCAGATTTTATTTCATGTTAATGCCACCTTTGGGAAAGTTGACAGGAAACAGATTTTACCGTTCCAAAGATCCTTGTTAGATCCTTGGTCCAAACCTCTTGACATTCATTTGTCCTGGATTACCCGAGCCTATTTTTAACACCTCCTTAATTTATGGTAGCTTACCCTACATAATCTGCTACCCATGCATTCAGACATCTCTATGAGAAACTTTCGTGGTAAACCTAAATTTCCTGAGAGAAAATTAACACAGACAAAAATTTAAATTTTAGAAAATTTTTCCTTTCTGTGATTAACCCTGAATATTGTGGATTATTCAGTATCTAACATTTTTGGATAAAAACATTGAAAGCACTGGCCTAGGTCACAAAGTAAAGATTTATCATAGTGTCTGAATGATTAAATTAAGTTTTCGTTCAATCAGAAAGTTCTTAAATTGGGTTATATTGTGAAGGAATATCACAGAAAACAATTAAAGAATACCTAATTGATTATTTGCATATATAGTTATGTTAATTAAGTAATTAGGTTATTATTAATGAAGGTATAAAGCTAATTAACATGTCAATATTAAAATTAGTAGTCATATATAATGTCATTTACATCATCCTGCTAATTAGACAGGCACTTTGACCTGATATGCAAGACACAATACATTTGATTTATTCAATTTTGCTGAGCTAAATTCTGTGTTTTGATAGTTTTTACCAAGCTTGATTCTGTATTTTGATAGTCATGTTCTGTTATTTGGATTGTTTAATTCTGTATTTTGGTAGTTTTTGTTGAGCTATTTTCTGTATTTTGGTAGTCTTATTCTGTATTTTGATAGCATTTGCCGAGGTAAATGCTGTATTTTGATAGTTAATTTTCTGTATTTTTCTGATAGGCACATTATATTTTATATTGGTGAGAGTTTTGAAATTCGACCATTGTATTGACCCAGAAAACTGTAGAACATGGGTTTTCAACTTTTTTCATTCTACTACACTACCTTATCCTTGATCAAATGCATAACCCCCCTTCCTCCCTCCCTAAAAATACTTGCTATTTCTTTATTTTCTTTTTTATTTTCCTTGCAATAATGTTCGTGTCAGAGATTTTAGCCTGACTGAATAACTTACTTAAATTTTGATTGTCCAAAAATTTACTAAACTAAACTACAAACTACAACTATCTCCCCCCCCCCCCTTCTTCATAAATAAAATAAACTGCTTGGGGGTAGGGTAATTACCTCCAGGTTGTAGACCCCTGCTGTATTCCTTTGAAAATAGACACTCAACTGGTTGCAAAGTTCTTAAACAATAGCCAGTGACATCACATCACATAACATTGATATCATTAATTCATTTAGAGCTTAATTCTCTGTACATAGGACAGTATCCAACACTCAGTGTTAAAAGTTCTAAAATTAACGCCAAACCCAATTCCATATATATATGATAGTTGTAGATTGTAAATAGCAAAATACAATATTTACAATCAGTACTTTGTACTTGGGGTTGATCACAAAACAAAATTGTAAAACACAATCTTATTGTTCCATCTAAAATGCTATCAGAATTGCATTCTTGAGTTTTATGACTGTAAAATATATTTCTTACCTTTAGGTACAAGTTGGTGCACTTCATCAGACCAAAAAATACCATCCACTACCACATTTCTGACCACCGCACTTGTCGTTGAAATTGTCGTCTGCACAATTTGTGTCATTGGTTTCACATACTTTGGCACTTCTTGAAATTTTAATTTCGGTCGAACGAAAGTTAAATTTTTGATTTTTTGAAAATTAATATTTTCGTCCAATAGTAAATCTTGCATTTCATCCAAGTCCTCACTTTGGTCTTCTTCATTACTTTCACTTTCGTCCTCAATGATGGCATTTTCAATGTCCTCCTCATATTCATAATTTTCACTTTTGACTAGTTTTTGAATTTGATTCATTCTATAGTCCATTTCAATATTATGCTTCTGTTGTTTAGTAATATGTTGAACTGGGTTATACACAACTTTCTTTCCTGAATCCTCATTCATTGCTTGTGGTTTTCTTTCGATTAATTTGACATTATGAGAATTTCCATAAAGTTCCTCCGAGGTTGGTGAATTGTGATCCTGGGAATGTTTTTTCTGAATAGAAAACTCGGAAACATCATCTAAATTTTCCCCAGAGGAATTCAATTGTACTACCATTAAGTTGAGCAAGATAACGAAACAAAATGTTAATGAAAAAATTGTCAAAAATAATGTCTTGATTCTGCGAAGTTTGCAACCTCTCATGATGACGCGTACTAATCTGTAAATGCACCTCACAAGATCAGAAAATTTGCAGACGTTCACAATCCAGTTTTCAAAACCTCAATGACAACATTCACCGTTCACATCTGAATTATAGATTGAATTATGTTGATTTTACCAACCTCTTGTCAAATGAGTTAATGTTAGTTTATCACAAAACTTGATTAAAGTAACATTGTTCCTTCCTATCATCCTGTAAAAACTTCCTGTTCCGTCATTCAAACTTCAGTACTATTATGACTATGTTAAGTTGTTTGTAATGAGTGTTAAATAGTGGTAATTCTATTGTTATTGTTTATTTACTATACAATCTGGTATATCTACTTACTTACTCTGACTGATTTACTGTATAACACGTCTGGCTCTAGTGTTGTCGTCTGCTACTAGAGCTCTTTAGCTGTTGGGGAAAAGAACTGTCCTTAAAGCACTACTGGAAAATATGGTCCATGTAGGAACAAAAAGTCTTTGAAAAATTGCTGTTTGTTAAATAGCATATGAACACCTGAACACTTTTTCTTTCAAAATAACAACAAAAGTGTTAACCTAGGCATTTTTTTAAAAATTTTTCAATCATGAGAGTTCACAGAATCCTACTCTTTGTTTATAAATGATAAAAATGTTTGAACACAATTCTAAAAGGTTCGGACGTCTGCTTTATCTCACTTTCATAATCAAAATCATTACACTCCAATGTTTGAACACAACCTAAACCTGTCGACCAGTCTCTTGGGTTCTGTTTGTTTCACAAGAAACCTCATGTATTTAACAAGTTGAAGTCTGACAGCTGAGTAAAGCCCAATCAAGCCAGAGTACTAGCTGTTAAGTGAAATAGAATGGAGTGAAGTTTCCTTCCACTTTCACACTAGACCAATCAAAACACAATCCAAACTTTTAGCAGCCGATTGCCTGTCTTCTCTGTTTCTTGATTTCTGGTAGTGTTCAAAGAACTTTCCATTCCAGGACTTCATAAGAATATTTGGACATTCTCATTTCAAGCATGGTCTTTTGGTTTCAGTGAGGAAAAAATTCACAGATTCTTCTGGACTCTATTAGCCTGGTTTCAAACATAGTCTTAGTCAACATCAATTTTCTAATCCACAGACTTTTCCCATGTCTTCGTTGCAGATCATGTAATTTTGAATTTTAAACGTACACTACTTATATCACAATATTAAACTTGATGGCACACGCCCTCCAGGTGGGCCTTATCTTTACAAACAATATTTCACAATGTCGATATGTATACTGCTGCAGTTGGCACATGCTTGGCTTCTGATACATTTGGTATCTTTCATTTCTCTAATCACTTAAAAGTTATTACAGATAATTGGATAGCTTAAAGATGGAATCTCCCTTAATTTTTAGATACGTATTCATCAATTATTTTGAGGTTAAATTTTTTATTTCAAAAATTTCTTATTTTCAATTGAAAAAGTAACCATATAGCCTGTTGAAATTAACATATTTGCTTTTGCATTTATTATTGATATTCCTAAAGCAATTCTTATCAAAAAAACATTTTACTTCTAAAATACACTGCTCTAGAAGGTGTGAAAAAAGAAACGAAAAATAGTTTTACATCCTACTTTTCTGCGTCAGCTTGAACTAATGCAGATTCTATCTTTAAGATTTTTAAGTGTTTCTGCTTTAGCCAAATTAAAATCTTTCCACAACTTTATTTAATGACTTCATCTCCAGGTGTTTTTTAAAATCTAAATTCACACTTTAATATGAACTAATCATGTAATATGATACTTCCAAATTTAATCATGTTCACTTCCGATAAGAATTTTGGCACAAATATAAATGATTACTCTCACAAAAAAAATCCTTATCAAAAGATGATGGTTTTAAAGCTTGAAAATTGAATTTTAATTTGATCATTATGGGTGTATAGAGATCTTTGTGCATTAAATAACAAGCACAGATGCATTTACATTTTGAAATCTGATTTTGCAATTCAGCAGATTGTTATGCTGCACTTTCTCACAATTTCAATTTTATGGTTCTGTCATGATTTTAATCTATTATTCTTAAATACACATTATGTACATTTGAATATCAAATAAATATACACAGTAATGAGTTATACACTATTTAATTACTTTTCCAATTCCATTAAACACATACACACAAAATATGTCAATATGGCTTTGTTTTAGAATTACTGGTATGATCCAAATATTTGTCCACTCACACTAGATAATGCACCCATATATAATAGTTGTATTAGGCTGCGGCAATCTATAACATTCATTCAATTGCAATATATCATGATTTTGAATCAATAATCATGATCAGACATAATATATATATTCCTAATACACATTTGCTTCAAGTATCAGGCAGCATCAATAGAACACAAGATTCCAAATGGCATTTGAGTTGAAGCCAATTCCTCCTGTTGTTAGTGTGCCATTTTAAAATGTGGATGATATTTATTTTTGTAGTAAAGTTACATTTTGTTTTTATTCGGTCTCACATGTTGCTGTAACATGGTCTGTACTCCACTGTCTGAAAATAGAAGAACAAATGATCAATCATTAAAACATGCTGTGGGAAGATCTAGGTGAAATATTTAAATTTAAATATATGTACTTAGTATATTTTGAAATACACATATTTAAGTCTTAAATGATATCATAAAAAAGAAATTTGTTTTCAAGATCTGTATATGCTATTCCGCTTTTAAGGGATTGTGCAGAGGTTTTCTAAAAAAAAATATGTGTATTATTAGCAAAGATTTGCACTAATTTTCAATCAGACGTCTGTGGTTCTTGCAATTACATTTAAACTATGTGTATTATGACCTCACTATCTCAAAGGTCCTTAAATATCAATAGCTGCAAATTGATAATATCAGTGTCCTCCATGCATGACAGGTCCCAAGTTTATCAACCAAAGATGGAAATATTGCCAAATTTCATAAAATGCAATAATTCTGAGCAAGATTATTTTTTCAAATAGCTTTATACAAGGTGTATCACTGAGAGAGAGAGAAAGATTTTAAATTATAACAAAAAATATGAAACCTGACAACTTTTCTGTGCAATACAAATATTATAACATGTACATTCACAGAACTCAGTTGTACAATTAATATAAAGTAAACATACAGAGAAAGGGGCAATTGTTATTGGATTTGCAGTAGGCAAACAATTTAAGTTGAATTACATTATAAAGTAAACAATTTAGAGATATATATATATTGGGTAATTTATTATATAGTTCAGTTTCAATATGTCTACCATCTTATCTTGTTCAAGCTTTATGGATATGATTAAAATACCTCTGTTTCTTAACAAAAGGCTCTTGTTTTTTAATATGTAATATCTTTGAAATAAATTCTCTGATTTGCGTTTCAAAATCACTCTCTTGAAAGACTTGCATATTGAAGACGTTTGCACATATACACTTAAGTTGCTCATCTGGGTCCAATTTAAATCATAGTCTTATCTAATGGATTATTACTGATGTCAGTACAGGAAAGCCATATTTTTCTAACCCACACTAAACAAAAAACTGTAAGAAATATCAAATATAATCACAAAGGCCCAATGCAATAGATGCTTTTTAATATGCTTCTCCATGAGATAGGTGTAAACGCTCTTCAAATGAAAGAAACAAAAATATTTTTCAACAAAATTATGTATTAGATCTAGTGTCACAGAGTGAAAAAAACATAAAGTGAAATTATTACTAACAACCATGGCATCTCTATACATTCCCAGTGATATAGTCCAGACTACAATTTAGAACTCTTCAATGTGAGAAGGATGTTATTTAAATACACTGGATATCAACAAAGTCAGGGGATCAAATTGGGCGACTGTCAACATTGGAATGTATCACTCAGTCACCTTTAGTGAATTTTGTTTACAGTCTCTTGTTTACTTTAGATGTTTTCCATGACACATTCAGCTCGAGTTTCCACACTAGCCTTAGACATGCTGACTCTACAATTTTCAATCTGCTGGCAAATTCCGGGCTTGTTATTACAACAACTTTCAATGCATTTTGTTAATTACATTTTTTTCTTTTCATGAAAGATCATGTTTTGTTCTGTTTGTTTGAAAACGACTACAGTTTCTAATTTTAATGACATTTAAGAGTGAGAAAGGATAAATTTAATTATTAATTAAAATTAACCGTATTAAATTAAAGAATTATCTTTTTTTTTTAATCTGAAGCTGTAACTGTGTGGGGAGATTTACAGCTGAATGATAGTTGAAAAGTGAAGCATATGACTAAGAACTCCAGTTTGGCTTGCAAAGCATATTAAAAAAAGTAGTCTTTATTTTATCTTTTCAGAATTATTAAAGTGACAGGTGGTCCATTTTTTTTACCAATTATAATTAAGTGTCAGAAACTGGAATTTTTTAGCTGAGCTAATCAGTAATAGTTTTCACAGCTCACTTTCGAAATTTGAGCCTTCAAATCAATGAGTGTCCAGTATTTTCTGCGTTTGAATGTTAAAATGACGACTCGTCAATTTAAGATACTCTGTGATGTATAGAAAAGACATATACAGAAATAGCGTGTAAAATTCCTGAAGACTATTTACATGTATTCAAGACTAACATCAACCCCCCAAAATGGCGTATCTGTCCCTTTAAATCCAACTTATGATGAAATATTGAGACAGCGACAACTCTTATCACAAGAATTTTTCATGAAACCTTCATTTTAAAGCACATTGAGTGTGAAGCTCATTTGTCATCAGCTATGTGATTGCCAGATCTGAAAAATCAACTTATTTGAAGCCATGGTTAGTGCTTTTAGACCCATCTTGTCACCTTTTGACCAACAAAAATAACTTTCACATAACCATACTCTCCAAGGACTTATTTTAGAAGCTGATTAATCCCATACCAGTACTTAATTTCCTTTCTTTG